CGTCTACCCCCTCCTCTTGCTTCTCCACGCCTCCGTATAGTCTCTCGCCGACCTATCTCCTCGCTACGGCAATTTCAAAAAAGTGCATTTTTCAAAAAACCATAAGACTAAACTTCTCCTAACTGTACTCCTCCTCGGACGAGACGGAGAAAATCTATACGCTGGATGGAAACTGGGCGCGGAGCATTCTATGGTTCGATTCAGAAAATGTTCACGCCTTTCCTTATAAATATGCATCTAGTCGCTGGTATTAATTTTTGCAACGACTTCGAATAATCCTCAAATCTTCTGCATTATTGCAAGTCTCAAGCATCATCGAGATAGCGATCGCGAAGGTGGGACGAAGCGAGATAGATGCCCGTCTTTCACTTCATTTTCACGAGGGAAGATGATTTACATTCGACTCGGATGAATTTTCGGACCGACGCTTTTCGTCCCGTGATCGTGTAATTTCGGTTCGCAGGAGAGAGAATTCGGTTCGAGCTCGCCCGCTCATCCGACTCGGCAAAAGCTTTCGACGATAGCGTATGGAGCAGCCTGTACGCAGAAGCGCGTGTAGTAGTGGGGAGCGTGGGCGAGCGGGAGGACGCGCGGCAGGGGGAGAGACAACGCGCGGTGTGCGCGCTGTGTTCGCTGCTTGCGAGCGAGCGACGGCCGCGGAGCGGCGAACGGGAGGGAGCGCGATAGCGAGAGAAGGACATTGAGCGCTTAGTCGGACAAGGAGGGAAGGCATTACTCGTGCATGGGGCGTTACCACGGAAACCCCTATTCGTTCTCCATCCCTTCGCTCGTCAGGCAACGCGAGAGAACGAGAGAATGAGAAGGAGAGGGGGGGGGGTAGAGAGGGAGACGGTGACAGAAATAGAGAGACCGAAAGGACGACCGACAGAGAAAAAGGACGAAGCGCGCGCGAGAGAGAGGGAAGCGGAGTTGGTCGCACAAGTTGGTGGGAGAAGGAGAGAATGAGAAAGAAAGAGGGACTAGGAAAGCCAGAGAGAGAGAGAGAGAGAGAGAGAAGGAAAGAGCGAACGATATAGCTTGACGATGGGTAAGAGCGAGAGAAACGACAGCATGATATCGAGAGGGGAGTGGGTGATGAACGGAGCGAACGAGAACGGGATGGAGAGCGAGAAAGCGCATGTTGGAGGAAGATAGCCGGCAAATGCGGAGCCGCCAGTGCAATCAACCCGTTGCCCACTCGCGAGGGTAAAACTATCCCGAAGTCAGACGAGGATACGTATATTGCGGAGGGAGCCGCGCGTTATTGTGTCTATATGTATATATATGAATACACGCATGTATTTTATTATATATATATATATATATATATATTATATATAAAAAAATATATATAAAATATATACATATATATAAATACGAATGCATATACACATGTACATATGTACGTATATACGTGGTGGGTCGTCGAGTAAGTAGGAGATAGAGAGAGGGAACGAGCGCGGAGAGCGAGATAGAGACAGAGGATAAAGAGAAACGAGTGCCCGGAGTGGAAAAAAGACCAGGCGAAATTACAAGATTAGATGCCTGCTACCTGTAACGAGACTCCGCCGATAAAGCAGCGCTCTGCGTTAAAGATGCGAGGGCATCATTCACGCGTGCTTTTTTAATTCGATCCGCGCTTCCAATCGCGCGAATCATCCTTGACGAGGACTGTCGACTCGCGCGAGACGCGGATAATCTCGAAATGCACAGACATGAAGATTCCGCTCTGAGAAAGATAAGTCCAATGAATTATTCGCCTTGTAGTAACAAACGGCGGAGGGATGGAAAGAGGGGAAACAGGGTCATCGTCCATCCACCGTCCGCGTTAAACCCATTTCGGTGTCGTAATTGTGAAAACTTTGTTCCTCCTGTAGCGTTACAAAACTCGCATTTTATATAACACCCTGCACACCGGAGAATATCATCGACATTTCTCTCGCATGGTATCTCGAGCTACGCCCGAGTGGATGAACAGCTCGAAGTCGCTTTATGAAAAAGTCACCTTCCGATAGATCTCTGCAGAATCCGCAGAATGTTCTCAGAATTAATTATGTACGTATTATAATTAACTTTTTCGACAGAAGTTTTTTTTAAATAAAATGTTACAGCATCGACGTGTCGAATAATTTTCAGTCGAGTAACATGCTATATTACCAAGAATTTATTTTGATATTGATATTGATTTTGTAGAATCTATTCTGTACTACTAATGCTAATTCTGTAAAAATTTTATAGACGATCACTTTCGATCAAATCGATTGAGAAATTCATAGATGAAGATATGATAATTTCGAGATGATCCAATATATTTTTACATAATCAAAAATTTTATGTCATTTTAAACAATTATGCGTGAAAATTAATACGCATTAAAATTTTTACCTATTTATATCCCTATTTCATCAAACGCATATCGTATGCAACATATATGGATATGATGTTAAACTCATGCGCGAGGGTGTCAGAGCTTTCGTTCCTCGTGGCTGTTGCTGGTAAG